GGAAGGAAGGAAGGAAGGAAGGAAGGAAGGAAGGAAGGAAGGAAGGACTAGCAATAGCACTTAGACTTATATATACCACTTTACAGCACTCTCTAAGCGGTTTACAGAGTTAACCTATTGTCCCCCCCAATTTTGGGTTTTCATTTTATGACCTTGGAAGGATGGAAGGTCGAGTCAACCTTCAGCCGGTCAGCATCAAACTGCTGACAGTCGGCAGAATTAGCCTGCAAGAGTGCATTCTAACCACTATGCCACTAAGGAGGGAAGGAAGGAACTAGCAATAGCACTTAGACTTCTATACCACTTTACAGCCCTCTCTAAGTGGTTTATAGTCAGCCTCTTGCCCCTAATAATCTGGTCCCCATTTTACCGACCTCAGAAGGATGGAAGGATGTGTTAACCTTGAGCCTGGTGAGATTCGATCTGCCAAATTGTAGGCAGCTGGCAGTCAGCAGAAGTAGCCTGCAGTACTGCATTCTCATCACTGCGTCACTGTAGCTTCTACGGAAGGGAACCCATTCAAAGTTGCGATGTCGCTGAAAAAAGTGACTTATGGTCATTTTTCAGCCTTAATGACCTTTGCAGCATCCCTATGGTCACATGATCAAAAAATTCAGATTTTAAATTTAGATCATCAAAATTTACAACTATCTCACTTAGCACCAGAAATTTGGGGCCCCGATTGTGGTCGTAAGTCGAGGAAGGTAACCAGATGTGGTATTCAGCAGGTTCTGGCCAGTTCTGGAGAACCAGTAGCGGAAATTTTGAATAGTTCGGAGAACCGGCAAATATTACCTCTGACTGGCCCCGCCCCCATCTATTCTCCGCCTCCCGAGTCCCAGCTGATTGGCTGGGTCTTCTTTTGTTGCCCTGCACAGGAGAACGGAGCTGGAAAGCAGGTTAGTGGGGTGGGGAGGGAATGGAGATTTTGCAGTATCCTTCCCCTGCCACGCCCACCAAGCCACACCACACCCACCAAACCACACCCACAGAACCGGCAGTAAAAAAATTTGAATCCCACCACTGAAGGTAACCCCCCTACAGGTACATTCACCCCCCCCAATGAATATACCAGTGGTGGCTAACCTTTTTTGGCTCCTGTGCTGAATGCGCACGCCCCTCCATGCACCCTGCACATGAGCGTATGACCCCCCTGTGCACGCCATGCATCTCCGTGGATGCGTACGAGACACCCCGTGCGCCATGCACCCCGTGCATGTGTGCATGCCTCCCATGTACCCCCATCCCTCATGCATGCACGCCAAATACCCGACAATCAGCTGTCGGGTGGGTGTAATGCGCGCATACGCAGTGGAGCTCTTCTGGGCCACCTCTCACGTGCCGGCAAAAGTGGCTCTGCGTTCCACTTCCAGCAATATAGTCGACCAGATCGGTTAAAGATTTAATGGCTATATGGACACAAAGGTTCACTTTAATTGAGATTACAAGTAGTCCTTGGCTTACAATTAGTTATTTACGATTGACCTTCTCCCAAAGTTAGTTATGACCCCTGGTTTCCAAATCAGAGATTCTGCAGAACCCCACAGTCCTGTGCAAAAAAAATCGGATAAATTCATCCTGACGATCAACCACAGATAAGCCGCCACTGAGGCTATTTATTACTCAAAGACTACAAGTATAGTTGTTTATTTTTCTTGTTGTTGTCATTTTAGGGAGTCTGTTTATGAAGGAAAACCAGGCTGTTTGGCTAATCCCGTTTGCAAATACAAAAATATAGTTTAATTCTATTATGATAGCAAACCTTGTTGGCTAAAAAAAGAAAACAAAAATCAGCCTGTATCAGAAGACCAAGAGTTAAAGCAAGCAAATAAAGCTTTGTGTGACTCTGATGCCATTGCTGTTACAATTTTTTAATGCGAACACATGTGCAAGTATGTGCACACAGAGGCGTGCTCGGACTCCAGAATCAAACGGCTTCTATTCAACTATTTTGTTAAAAAAAAAAAATGAGGGGAGCCAGTAAGTTACAAATGACTGAGAGTTTTTTTTTATTATTATTATTCAATTTGCAGATGCTTAAAAATGAGGGATTGTATTTAGATGGGGTCACGGGGTCAAATAGATACAGCAACCAAAATTATCGGTCTCTGCCTGCGTCTCTCACTAAACCTCTGTGTGAACCTCCGACTGGTTCCCTGATGCCTCTAACAGTTTCGTATCTGAAGCCTCTACTTTATCTCAGATTTCTTTGCCCACCCATGAGTAAATCTGCAACTCTGGGACACTTCGGAATATCATGATACTGGAAAGAAGTTGACATGGTGAAGATATGAAATGCCAGTTCAATCCCTTTGCAAGAGAAGAGAAAAGTTGTAAAAGAGAATAACTGTACCATTTTCTCTCTCCTTTTCTTTCCCTTTGTTTTTTTCCCCCTTCTCTCTCTCTCTCTCTCCCTTCTCTTCTCCTTTGTTCCTTCCCATTCCTTCTCTTTCCTTTCTCCCTCCTTTACTTCATTCCCTCCTTTTTTCATACTCGCCCCTCCTTCCCCTCTTCTCCCTTTCGTTCCCCTTTCCTCTCCCTCCCTTCTTTTCCTTCCTTCTTTTTTCCTTCTCCCTTCCTTTTTCCTTTCTCTGCCCCCTCCAACTTGTACCTCCCTCCTTTCC